GGGGGGGGGGGTGGGCAAAAAAAACCTTGCACCAGGGCCCTTTGTTCCTTCGGTCCGCCACTGTTTTGGATACAGTAAGGTAGTATCAAAATCCCTAACAGGTTTGTTTTGCTGTGTGTGTGTCCCTGCTGTGTCCCCACTCTTAATTTGTCTTCATGACCATTGCCTCTCGTGGAGAAAGTGCAGGAAATCAAAATGTTTACAGCTGTCACTGGAACAGAAGGCGAGGGGATATCCTTCAATGGGGCACCTGCTCTGGTGACAGCTGTCTACAAGGGGAATTCCCGTTTTCCTCTCACTTCATGTCCCACTATATGCAAAGGTTTTGACTTTATATACATTTAATGATGTGGAAGAGGATCTAAAAGAGCAGAGGCAAGAAATAGATCAAAATTAATGCAATGGGGTTTAGTTACGAAAGAGTACAGCAAGTGCAAAAGGCCAAAATTTAAAAACAGGCAGCGATGCCTGTTAATATACAAGCAATCCGCCGGCTATAGAGCCAGTCGGCGGATCGCTTGTATGGGGTGCCGATCCGCGTTGCCCCGCGCTCCTCCTCCCGCTGGTCCCGGGCTCCGCTGTGCCCGGTGCCAGCATAGTGCCTCTGTGACAGGGGATCAGAGGAAGATCAGTAGACGATCTCCCTCCGGTCCCCTCTCCGCTGTCAGAATGCGGAAGTGATGTATGTTACATCACTTCCGCATTCTTGTGTCACTCTCCAGCTTGAAACGCTGAGGTTTATTAGCCCCCTATGTGATAGCAATAAAGTTAAGTGAAAAAAATAGGAAGAAAAAATTAATGCATGCAGTGAGTCACGGGCTTAAATAATCCCTTATGTAGGTGCAGTGCATTTAGTAGACTTACTTTTTCATTATTTTAACCTGCTGATCCTGCCAGTATGAGCAATCCTTCCTGACCTAGGGTGACAACGTTTGTTGATTGTTGCTCTATTAATGAGGAGCATTGTACTCCCACTGGTGCGCTTGGGCCCTATCTATGAGTCTGCTTTTAACACATAGTGGAGCTTTAGTAGTGCCAACACCATGATACTCCAGCACAAATTGGAATTTACATGGATTTCTGTAAAAAAAGTAAAGTAAGACTGTAGAGATATATATATAAATAAACCTTCAATCAATTTTTCTTAAATTTGGATGTTAAGAATATTTGTATGGATGTGGCTTATTTTCATGTGTCTCATATAAACTTTAAACAACACCAGGCAGAAAAAAATGTAACCCTTGCAGTGGGGCTACCCCTGCACTACAAGGGTTAAGTACTCATTTTGATTCAGGGTGTAAATAAAAAAAGACATACTCACCTGATCCTCAGTCCTGCCTGGCTGCTAGATTGGTTCCTGCAGTCTTTCTCTTTCTCTGCTTCGGCAATGTCCCTCAGTGTCCTCACGTCTAATACAGACATTCCTCGTTTTCCGACTTACCTGCTTTGTGACCACTCGCACTTACGACGGACCGCCGATCGACCTCCAACCTTGCGCGTCAGCGCGCTGCGTCGCCGGCGGTAGTGATGTCCTCCGTTCTTCACTGCGGGTCCCGGTAAGTATTTTATTGCCCGATGTACAGTACACTGTTCGGTACTGTACATCTGCAACACTATACAGTACTGTACTATTAAAGTACAGTACTGTATAGAGTTCCTCACCTCAATTCGTTTAACGACCTGGTCGTAGGAACGGAACTCGGTCGTTAAGTGAGGAATACCTGTAGACTGTATTAGACGTGATGACTCACGGGTCCTTAGACCGCTAGAGTGGAAGGGGAGGGAGGCTCCATCGCTGGCCAAAATTCTGTTGAAACTCATTCACTACAAAGGCACAAGAGATAGAGTAAAACATTGCTGGTTCTGATTGCACTAGGAGCAACTCCATAGTATAATGTAAGTTAGTAAATGTACTCCTGTGAACAAAAAGAGAACTAAAGTCAAAAAAAGGTTTGGTTTTAGTTCTTTTAAATCTTTAAAATACATTCAAGTACCTGAACTATTAACAAAAATGTATCTTATTTGTGTATCACTCAGCTGTAGATCCTCAAATCATCTCAGAATCGGTGCTGACACTGTCCTTCCTTCTGGAGGGTGGCTAGTTGTGTTCCCCATGGTCCATGTGTGTGTTGTACTACATTGGACTACAATCTGACATTTCGTTTACTAATTTGTATTGAGATTGCAGTCCATCACAGGAGTGAGCTTGGAGCAGTGACTACTTTACAACACACACAGGTACCATGGGGAACAAAAGTAGCCGCCCTCCAGAAGGAAGGACAGTGTCAGCACCAGTTCAGAGATGATTTGAGGATCTACAGCTGAGTGCTACACAAATAAGATACATTTTTGTTAAAAGTTAGGGTGCTTGAATGTATTTTTAAGATTTAACTCCTGATTTTAGTGTCACTTTAACAAAACTATTGCAAGGCTTTAAATAATAAAACTTAACTACCCACGGAACTGCAAGGGTCAAGTGCTAGTCTTCATCTAGGGTCTAAAATAACAAAGAAGTACCCAAATCTCAGAGCCGACGGGCTGCCAGACAATTTCCTGCAGCCTCTCTCTCCCTCCACTGCAGTGGAATGTCCCTTGGTGTCCAATATACTGTATTGAAAGTGATGACTCACAGGTCATTAGACCACCAGAGTGAAAAGGGAGACCCGGCACCAGGAGGTGGGCAAATCTGGCCCTCCAGCTGTTGTGGAACTACAAGCCCCATGAGGCATTGCAAGTCTCTGACAGTTACAGGCATGACTCCCATAGGCAGAAGCATGTTGGGATTTGTAGTCAAAGCACAGCTGGAGGATCGGGGTTGTCCTCCCTGTTCTAGATAAAAACAAGCACTTGCAGTACCTGGGTAGCCCACTGCAGGGATTACGTTTTCTACTGCCTGGAGTTCTTCTTTAACGAGTTAGGACTTTTTAAAGGGACCGTACCAGCAGAAATTTGTTGCAAACACTTTGATGAATTATCTCCCAGCTTCTAGGTGAAGCTCGATGACAGCTGCTCAGCCTATCACCCCAAATCTAATCTCGGGAAGAGCGATCTCTCCTCGGCTGTCCCAGGCTGCCCCGGTCTTCCGGGATGAAGTTTTCTGGTCCGGCCCCCTGAACTTTAGGGCGGCGGAAGGCAGCTCGTCCCCTGACAGGAAGAAAAGGCGGCCAGGGAAATCAGGATGATGGCCGTCCTGTGTTTACCGGAGCCCCTGACAGCCCTGCAGCTGAAGCGGCTGGAGGAGCACAAGTACAGTGCCAATGGGCGATCTCTGCTGGAGCCCCTCATGCAGATCTATTGGAACTGGCTGGTGGAGAAGGTGCCCCTATGGCTGGCACCGAACACGATCACCATGGTGGGGCTCATCATGAATGTGTTGACAACGCTCATCGTCGTCTACTACTGCCCTTCGGCCACCGAGGAAGTAAGTAGTCAGGAGTGGGGTGCTGGGGGTCACGTTGTCATCTCTGTGTACTGGCTGGCAGCGATCTCGTGGGCACCGTGCCAGGCTGCTTCTCAGATTGTTGACTGCTTGTCAGTGCCAATTTAGTGCAGTAACCAATAGCGATCACTGCTCAGTCCACTGGCCTGACTTCCATTCATTGCAATCTGATCTGGTGCTCAGGGTTATTACAGCAAAGGCCCTGGTTACGTGTCTGGTTACATTTCTATTTACTTGTGTGTTTACCTGAGTGTTTACATGTCTGTTTAGATGTGTTTACCTGTCTGTTCAGGTGTCTATTTACATGTCTGTTTACATGTGTGTTCACCTGTGTGTTTACTTATCTATTTACATGTGTGTTTACCTGAGTGTTTACATGCCTTTTTAGATGTGTGTTTTACTTGTCTATTTTTACATGTGTGTTTACATCTCTAACTACATGTGTGTTTACAAACGTCCATATTTGACGCAGTTAAAGGGGGGGAATCGTTGCGTTCCAATCCAATCTCAAATGCGTCTAGTTTTTATTGCAGATGTGAACAGAGAAGTATTTTATATCATAGGCTCGTACACACAGCTGCGTTGTGCTCAGTAATCTTGCAGTGCGTTCAGCTATGTAAATTTAAAGTAGAAAACATGTCCGCCAGTGTTTACACGTCTATTCAGCTCCAGCTGTGATGTAACTACAAATCCCAAATTCATCTGTCTCCGGGAGTCGTGGCTGTGAGGATCTTGCAATGCCTCCTGGGATTTGTAGTTCCACAACAGATGGAGTTTGCCCACCCCTAATGTAAACACATGTACATTGTGAAATTGAAAACTGAGCTAGAGGAATGGAAGAATAATTTACCAGATGTGAATCTTGATGATGATAATGACACTTTACATATCATTACATGCATTGTATACACAGTCAAAGAAATGTTATCAAAACTGGAGAAGATAGAATCCTGATAGAATCTCTTCAGTTTAGCTTTGAAAATGAAAGAGAGAAGCTAATTGGTTGCCACGGGTGATTCTGATTCTGTCTGCTCCAGTTGTGATAAATTCTCCTTTCTGCCAGTGAGGCTTGTGTAGATTCCAGCCATTTGCATGAGCCCCCTGGTATAAAACTAAATGTAAAGTGCATTATAAGATCTGTGCCATTACAGTCATTGGTATTGGGACTTCATATAGAAAAGCAGAGGTGTGATCACTACCATTGTGTCTTCATGCTCATATGCCCTTAACTGTAAAAAAAAAAAACGACACCACTCTGGCCCTCCAGCTGTGCTTTAACTACAAATCCCATCATGCCTTCACCGCTGGAAGTCGTGACTGTGCCTGTAAAAATGTATTGCCCGGATTTCTTCCTTTATGACTCTTTATTGAAGAGTTACCCATGACCTCTTTCCAGCATCCCATATTTCCATGTTTACAAACAAGCTAAATATAATCATGTAAACTGTTCCTCTGAATGTAACAAGCAGAACTTTATTATTTATTTCAATTGTGTTTATGACGCTGAGTTATGCATTTTAATTCCAAAGCTCTGGCACATGACAGGGCATTTTACAGAGTATATAGAGCTATTGTCATGTGTCTCTGTGTCTAGAAGGAGCTAACAATCTAATGTTCCATACACACGGGTCAATCTAGGAGGAAGTCAGTTAACCCAGCAGTATGATTGTGGGAGGGAACTGGAATACATAGACAAGATCCAGACATTTCCTTCAGCTGTAACACAAGTTCTTAGGGCTCAGTCACACTAGATGCAGTGCGTTCCGGCCCGATTTCGGCCGCAACGCACTGCATCTAGTGTGACTGAGCCCTTAGTCACCCCATTTCCATTGTCTGTTTTCAATGGTTTATCCCCCATTCACACCTGTGCGATGTCAAGCACTTCAGCCACCGCTCCTACTGTTTTATCATGTATACTGCTCTCTTGGACTATTAGGATTGGCTGGTTACATTCTGTTGCAGATTATCATTGCTTTGAAATGCTTGTTTTCTTCTACCAGTGGTTATCACTGTTGGCAGAGAGGTCTTTGTCATATTAGCCATGTGCTTTGGTAGTTATTGTTATATGTGTTGGTGGTGGGATCCTGCTTGGCCGGTATCCAGAGTCTGTTCATCTCAGTGTTTGCCTTCTCTGTTGTCACCCGGTAATGTGTCAGTCTGCCACCTCAGTATTCTGAAACTGCCGTGATGCAACCTCTCTATTTGCAGGAAGAATCACAGCAGTTCTTTGGAGTCTGTTTTTACATGTCTTTGCGGTTATTATATTATCTGTAGATTGCTGTGTTTAGTTTCTTGTGACCTGATCACCATCAACTTTAAAGTGACACTAAATGCAGGAGTAAAACTTAAAAGAGAACTACAGGGTAAGTGTTTTACCCCATAGTTCTCTTAAGGGTCACGGGAGGACGTAAACTAGCGTCCTCCCGTGAATCAAAGCTCTGTATATCGCAAGCTACAGGTTGCGGTATACTGAGACAGCCGCAGCCAGGACGGTTCCCGACAATGCTGTCGAGATCCACCCAGCTGCGTGAATGACAGCTGGCTCTGCCTATCTAGAGGCAGAGCCGGCTGTGCACGGCCCCTCCCCTGTCTGTACCTCCAGTCAGCGCTGGAGGATCGGAGCGGGGAATCCCTGCAGGGGGTGGTGACTAACAGTCACTGCTGACAGCAGGGAGATGATCGAGAAGTAAGCGAGCGACGGTATGTGTTCGCTCACTTCCCGATCTATTGAGCCAACGTGTGACAGTTTCATTGTCACACTTCGGCTCGAATTATGAGGATGAGTGATTTTCACTCACCTCATAGATCACCTTTTAAAAATACATTGAAGTACCTTCACTATTAACAGAAATGTATCTTATTTGTGTATCACTCAGCTGTAGGTCCTCAAATCATCTCTGAATTGGTGCTGACACTGTCCTTCCTTCTGGAGGGCGGCTACTTTTGTTACCCACGGTCCCTGTGTGTGTTGCAAAGTATGCACCAATCCAAGCTCACTACCTTGATGGACTACAAATCTCAATACAAATTAGTAAACTAAACATTAGATTGTAGTCCATCATGGGAGTGAGCTTGGAGTGGTGGGTAACAAAAGTAGCCACCCTCCAGAAGGAAGGACAGTGTCAGCACCAATTATTTAGAGATGATATGAGGATCTACAGCCACAAATAAGATACATTTTTGTTAATAGTTAAGGTACTAGAATGCATCTTTAAGGTTTAACTCCTGAGTTTAGTGTCACTTTAATACAGAACGATGTTGTTCCTATAATTAAAAGACTATATTAGTGTGATCAGCCTGCTGATATGTTGTACTCTGAGCTTACTGTTCCATTATGTGTTGGATTCAGCCATAGAATGCAGACAACTTTCAAACCCCTGTGCCTCTAGAGCAGAGCAAAGCAAAGTTTAAAAAGAGAAGTAAAGTTAAATTTTTTTTGGCTTTACTTCTCTTTTTGGTCATAGGAGGGCATTTACTCATGCATCCTGTGACCCAAACTCGGCATATAGCAGGCTATTCCCTACTATATGCTGACAGCGCAGAGCTGCAGCCAAAATGGATAGGGACAATATTGTCAGGACCCATGCAACTGCCTGATTGATTCCTAGCTCTGCCTCTTTATTTTACTCTCCCAGTAATTCTCCTTTTAATAAGTGGAATGGTGACAGAATTGTGACTGGACCCCACTGCTGCACAGCTGGAAGAGGCGATGCTTAGAGGTGCCTGCAATTATCCCAAGAGCCTCCTGGGCATGGGGGTAGCACTAATTGTCAATGAGTATTGGTACCTGGATCCACCCGAGAAATCTATGCTGGCTTCACATTGCTCTGTAAAGGTGGCCATACACTTTACAACCATCGCAAGACCTTAGTCTTGCGATGGTTGTAAAGTACTTAAAAAAAACGTACGATCTGCCCATCTTGGACAGGCAGATCGTACTCTCGATCATTGCAAGCCCGCCCCACTGAGGGGCGGGCTATGAATGACAGCTGGCTCTGCCTATCTAGAGGCAGAGCCGGCTGTGCACGGCCCCTCCCCTGTCTGTACCTCCAGTCAGCGCTGGAGGATCGGAGCGGGGAATCCCTGCAGGGGGTGGTGACTAACAGTCACTGCTGACAGCAGGGAGATGATCGAGAAGTAAGCGAGCGACGGTATGTGTTCGCTCACTTCCCGATCTATTGAGCCAACGTGTGACAGTTTCATTGTCACACTTCGGCTCGAATTATGAGGATGAGTGATTTTCACTCACCTCATAGATCACCTTTTAAAAATACATTGAAGTACCTTCACTATTAACAGAAATGTATCTTATTTGTGTATCACTCAGCTGTAGGTCCTCAAATCATCTCTGAATTGGTGCTGACACTGTCCTTCCTTCTGGAGGGCGGCTACTTTTGTTACCCACGGTCCCTGTGTGTGTTGCAAAGTATGCACCAATCCAAGCTCACTACCTTGATGGACTACAAATCTCAATACAAATTAGTAAACTAAACATTAGATTGTAGTCCATCATGGGAGTGAGCTTGGAGTGGTGGGTAACAAAAGTAGCCACCCTCCAGAAGGAAGGACAGTGTCAGCACCAATTATTTAGAGATGATATGAGGATCTACAGCCACAAATAAGATACATTTTTGTTAATAGTTAAGGTACTAGAATGCATCTTTAAGGTTTAACTCCTGAGTTTAGTGTCACTTTAATACAGAACGATGTTGTTCCTATAATTAAAAGACTATATTAGTGTGATCAGCCTGCTGATATGTTGTACTCTGAGCTTACTGTTCCATTATGTGTTGGATTCAGCCATAGAATGCAGACAACTTTCAAACCCCTGTGCCTCTAGAGCAGAGCAAAGCAAAGTTTAAAAAGAGAAGTAAAGTTAAATTTTTTTTGGCTTTACTTCTCTTTTTGGTCATAGGAGGGCATTTACTCATGCATCCTGTGACCCAAACTCGGCATATAGCAGGCTATTCCCTACTATATGC